TGACATCACACATGACAAAGGTGTCCAAACGGTCATCTCTGTCACCACTTTCCTCTTGACAGTTTTGCTGCTAACACTGAACCCACTTTGTCTGGTCACTCTGCGCCGTGTGGACAGCCTCCCTGAAGCCACTAAAGTTTTTCTGCAATCGCTCACCTCAGCTGATCTTTTAATAGGAGTAACTTTATCCATTCCGATGACAGTCTCTGCCCTGGCTGGGAACTGGGTATTTGGAAATGCTGTCTGTGCACTTCAAGCATTCGTGGTCTCGATATTTAGCTACAGTGCTGTGTTCTCCTTGCTGCTTCTCACTATAGATCGCTACATTTCAGTGGTGTATGCACTTCGGTACTCATCGCTTGCTACTGCCAAGAGGGCTTGGATTGCTGTTTCCTGTGCCTGGGGTGTATCTGTGTTGCGGCAAATTTGGACTGGCTTTAGTTCCAACTGGATCTCTATTTATCATGATCTAAGCCTGCAGTGTTTTCTTCATCAATCAATTGAGGATCTCTGGGTGTCCTTCAGCATCCTGGTAGGCACAGCCTGTGTCATCATAGCTATGTACATTAGACTGTTCAGGATTTCACATCGTCATGCCCGACGCATCCAAGCTGACCACCAAGTTGTCGGAGGGAGGAATCGGCCAGCAAGATCCAACAGAAAGTCTCTGAACACCTTTCTCATCATAACTTTAACAAGCATGCTCTGTCTTCTCATACCAGCAGTATACATCAGTTTATTCTATGTTTTTCCTTCGGTCCCCCAGTTTGTATACACTTCCCAGCTGTTTGTATTTACCATGACAAACCTGCCCCTTTTGACAAGTGGTTGGCTGAATGTTGCTATCTATTACCTTAGAAACAAGGACATTCGCCAAGCAATGCATGCTGTCTTGATATCAAACTTTACATTCTTCAAACGGCTCTATCTGAACTAGAAAAACTAAACTCGGAATGGAATGCCATTCTTTTTCAAGATTGTCAACAGTTGGCAGCACTGCACAGGACATCAAACTGTTGCCTTTTGTGAATGTATCAAAATTTTTTCAACCTCAGGTGATGTTTGGTGAGTTCAAGAGTGTCTGATAGGCACAGTCTGTGCTCCTACCAGTTGCACATAGGTTTTGACAGCAAGTGACAGATTTTCCACAGAATGTGCACAAATTCATAAAGTAATTGTAAAAGAAAATTACCTCTGAATGTAGGCATGGAGTATGCCCAGGTTCCCTTTGAAAAGTTTGATATGAAGAAAAGGAAAGATGGTTGAGATATTTTAAAAGCCTATAAGTGATCAGTTAGTTTCTAATTATCCATGCTTTACGTCTGAGACAAGATATTGAATGGACTTCACTTTCATCAGATGAAGTGTACACACTTAGCAGTTATGTCTATTTGAATTTGTTAATGGAGCTTTAAAATGTAGCTGTGGTCTTGTCTTAATGGTAACTTAAGTGGATGTACTGTAATCCATCCATTATTGTCCTTATTCAAAGACCTTCTTTTTTCTATAAACCATTAGCTAATGGGAGTAATGGGGATTACGTGTACCTTTTTCTTTCCTGTGCGCTTCTACCCTGGGATGTTTCAACATCAAATTGGATTTCCTTCTAACACCACACAACTCTGCATTGTATGTTTTGCCCCCTGGGAATTCATTTTTATCTCCCACAAGCGGTAAGCCTGTGTTTGCCATTAAGGGAATGTCTTCGTCATCCTTGCTACATGTTGGAAACTTTTTACAATTTTGTGTCATCACGCTCAGCACGTCCAGGCCAACGATGGAGTTACCTGTAGCAGAGATCGGCCGGCTAGACCCAACAAGACGACGGCTTTCCGCAAGCGGCTCATCATAGTTTTGAGTGGTGCCCTCTGTAATGTCTTGCCTGCACTGTGCGTCCTTGTTTTCTTTCAACAATCAGCCATCTTGGGGTTTTTGCCCTAGGTGGTTTTTCTGCCTGCCTGCGGTTGACTGAACGTAGTTGTCCATTTCCTGAGGATGGTGTTGAAAAAACAAAAAAAGTCCAAACATGAAGAGATTTTTCCGACCCATGAAGGTGTAACTCCATCAGAAATCTTGCGAGTCAGGGTAATTTTTTTCATGAGCACCTTTGTGGCCTGTGTGGATCTTCATGCAGAGCTCCATCTGTTAAAGCAAACACTCGCTACTATGGTCTTCACTGAGCGAACTGTGACCGAGCTGTAACAGCTTTTCAGCTTGTCCGTTCGATGCTCAACTTTGAAGTGTAAGATTTTTATCCCGTTGTGGAGAAAATTGCATTCATTGTTGTGATTCCAAGGCTTTTGGGTAGAAATTCAAGCATTTCAATCCCATGCCCAGAGTATTTTTTGGGGGGATATTTCTTCCGGTCTTCAGGCTCTTGAGTTGGTACAGTATTTGTACTCACATGGGATGAGCAGTTGAGTAGTTTGAATAACAAGTATTAATTGAGTTAAACCAACAATAAAATATGACCCACCATATCAAAACCAGGCTGAAGTCGGTAGTTGTGATGTTGGACAATTCCTCTCCTTCAGCTTTTTTTTTACACTTTAAAATGTTCCATGTTAAATCAAAATTCTGTCCTCAGAAAGCTTCTTACGGGTAGTGAAAGCTGTAAAACTCCCATGAAAATCTGAACAGTGGAAGTTCCGCTATTTTAGAGTTATGAAGTTACCTACTTCAGCCTGCTTTGGGGATGTTGGGTCACAAATATCTTCACTTAAAACCACTGTACCGTTAAAGAGCTTCAAACTGCTTATGAAATGTTTCCACCAATTTTTTTGTTCTCCCCCTGGTGAATCACAGAAGCAAATCTCCAACATCGCAAGTGAGCAGGACCGGCTGCGGGGGGAGGTGCAGAAGACGGAAGAGCGGATTGCCGCCCTGGACAGCCACCGGAGGGAGTATGAGCAGCAGTGTGAAGAGCTGGAGGAAGACAAGCGAGAGCAGGGGGACCGGCTGGCCATGGTGCGAGACATGCTCAGAGGGTTGGAGAGAGCTAAAGAAAAGGTACGAGCTGCCAATCACAGGTGGACAAGTGGTTGTTATGTAAAAGTATTCCCCCATTTCCAGATTTACAGTGGCCTATCCAAAGTTTTCTTGAAACTTTTTTTCTTTTACAACTGAGTCTACAGATTCAATTCTTTTCATCTCCACAGATTAAGCTGTTGGCAAGAAATTACAACATGTCACTGGACTAGGTAACTCAGCCTCGGGTATTTCTTCACTGATCCAGAAAAAAACCTGAAATAACAAGTATCAGGGTTTTAACGTTCGTATCTTTCTTATGATCATGTCAAGTTAAACTTTTTAACTTTGCTGAGCCACAAATTTGCAGAGCCATTGGATTGTATCATAATTCATATTTCTCCAAATAATGGGGATTTCTCCACAGGCCATCTGAGAGGCCATCAAGGGCATACTGAGTATCACATGCACATTGCTGCCTTGTGTAATTACATGTAATGTACACTGTTAACCTATACATATCTTACCAAGGGTGTCCAACATTTTATTGCATTCCAACAGAACAAGGTCGAGCATGTAAATTTGTGTATTCAGCTCGTGGGTTGGTAATCTTGAGTTTGATTCTGCTTTCAATAGGGGACCCTGAATAATAGAGGACAATAAGGTCCCCGATTGACAGAGGGTCCCCGATTGACAACTGTGTACAAAACCGTGGGAAGTCGTCTAAAAAAGTAGAACAGTACAAACAAAAGAGGAACAATAGGGGGTCCCCAGTTGCAGGCAAATACACACTTGGGTGTGTGGTTTGCACCAGGTGCTTTAATTACTCATTTCCCAGATGGAGAGGGACATTTACTACCCATTTATTCCACTTAGCAATTTTATTAAAGTTAAATTTTTCTTAGACTGCAGTGACTGGAACCCAGTACATGTTATGGAGCTTTATGGATCACTGCGACCGCAAGTAGATTTCAGTACTAATGTTTAATGAGAGAATTTTGTAGAGAGGTATTAAAGCTGGATCACT